GATTAGACTGGACTATGGCACATAAAATGATACTTGTGAAGAGTGTGCTTCTTAGCTCAAGTAGATACATGAGACTAAATGGGCAGCTCCTGTCCGGAGGTGAGATGAGAAGGCAGAAACGGTCAGGAGCTGATTGAGTGAACACAGGGTATCAGGGGTGGAAAGGAGGAGTGTGCTGTCACATTAAAGGGAGAGCAGCTAGGGTCACATAACAAGGTATGTATAAATTTTTGTATGGGAGACTAACTTGGATTGTAAACTTTCACTTAAAGCACAACAATTTTTTTTAAAAAAAGAAAAGTATTTCTATAAAGAAAAGATAGATTGACGATTTTAAAAAGAAAATGACAGAGAGGTTCCTGAAGTAATAAATATGGAAAAGCATAGAGCTACAGAAATAAAAAATGTGCATTTAATTAAATTAAAACAAAAAAACATCCTGCAGGGGCTGTCTCATACCATCTCTCCAGTTTCATCTTGCTCCAGGCTCCTCTTTATCACACTATACTCCAGCCACACTGAATTGTTTTCAGTCTTTCAAACTTATGTTCCTCCTGCCACAGGCCCTTTCACATGATTTTCTGTCTGGAATTTAAATAAATACCCTTTCTTCCATCCCCTGTCCCCAGTTTTTTTTATTGTTAATTCCTACAAATCCTTCAGATCTCAGTTCAATCCACACTTCTTCAGGAGCTGCTCAGTCTAGGTTAAATGCTCCCCTATTACATTCTCTAAAGGCATATTGTGAGTCTTACTGATGCTCTCTCACATACTGTCACTACACTTTTAAGATTACATTTATTTGTGATTATTAAATTAATGACTAATATCTCCCATTAGACTAAAAACTCCTTGAGGGCAGGGGCCATGTCTGATTTTGTCCACCACTGAGTCCTCAGCACTCAGCACAGTACCTAGTTCACAACAGCCCCATTTCTGATGAGGAACTTTTGGGATTCAGAGAGATTAAGAAAATTTCTCAAGATGAGAAGGCTAGTAAGTGGCAGACATAGAACTGAAATCGAAATCAGTCCCGCTCCAGATTCCATACTTTTATCTATTACCCGCAGGTTAGGGCCTGGGTGGCAAGAGAAAATGCAGACAGGGCATACCGACCAAAAGGCAGACACCAGCCAGAAGGGATAAACAATTTCGGAAGGGTATATGCTCAAATCAATTCATTTCATCATTCATTTGCTATCTTCATCCTAAAACCAGAGGTAACAAACAGGTAGGTGGCTGTGACGTTCCTGTGCGCAGAGATTGCTTGTCAAGAGGCCCCAGAGCGCGAGCTCCCTAAAACCTAAGAGCGAGGCACCAGTGAAGTGAAATGCTTCTCGGAGAAGGGAAAACAAATACAGAAATTATAAAACGAGGCAGCCTGCCATGTGGACTATGACCGAGCTACGAACACGAAACGAGGTTAAGAGAAACTTTTCAGACTTATGAGCTGAACCTTGATGGAAGCGGGAAACTGAACAGGACGTGCTGAAGTTGCAGCACGCCCCGGGAGGAGGGACCTGTGAAAGTCTAGGCGCGCACGGTGGGAGATAGCGGGGCATATCTACCTTTCCGGCCACAGAAAATACCAGAACGTCAGGTCAGAAGAGGCGCTCTCTCGTTCTCACAGACCCGCTCCTTCCCCGGAGCCCAGTCCCCCGCCCGGACAACGCGCCAAGCCCCGCTGCACAGTCACCTCAACCTCTCTGCCGCCACAAACTTCCAAACAGCCCGCTCAACCGAACGCCGCCGAACTTCCGTCACTCGGGACAACAGGTCCCACCCCCGTGTCTCGTTTCCGCTGCGGGGTGTACCATTAAGCCTAATGTGGCGGGGGGAGCCGTCGGAAGTACGTGGACGTTACCACTCAGTCGGAGGGAGGTGAGAGCTAGCGGGAGTCGCAGGCCGGACCACAGAGTGAGCTTGCGTAGGTTGGCCTGGACTATGCCCGCGCTCTGTCATGCTAGATTAAGATCCTTCTCCACCCTAGTGGCATAATGGTTAAGAGCTATGGCTGCTAACCAAAAGGTCAGCAGTTCGAATCCACCAGGCGCTCCTTGGAAACTCTATGGGGCAGTTCTACTCTGTCCTCCAGGGTCACTATGAGTCGGAATCGACTAGATGGCAACGCTACATCCTGTTGCAGAAAGAAAGAGTCAGTGCCAGAGGGCAGAATCAAGTGATAGCCCCGCAGGTCTTTGGACTGGAATC